TTCAATGTAAAATGTGAACAGAGCAGTAATGACCTTTCAGAATCAGATGATGGAGTTGTCAAAAATACCCATTCCCCATTAGTATTTTTAATAAGCCAGAAGAGTGTAACATATGGAAGTGAAATTTCTGATGTGTAGACCACATACTCAAATGTGATGCCAGCAGCCGAGGACACGGTGTGTCACTGTAGGGGAGTTTTCAAATGAGGTAAAGAGGAAAGAAGTATCTGAAGGTGAGATAAAAAGAATAGAAAATTTCTTCTTATAGTGTACCTGAGAGATTTGAAGAAAGCCAAGGTTAAGAATTAATTCTCAAAAATATCATGTTGTTTTTCTAATTGAGGAAAATATTTAGGGCTAACTAAATTCTCTAGTCATGAAAATTTTATTGTTTTGATTTGGTTTATATTTTTGTAGACCGTGTGGATTTTTCTTTTATTTTTTAAATTTAAGGTTTATAAAATAATTAGGTTTATATGTCTCCTGAGAAATAGATGAGCAACTTGAATATTGGTTCTGCAAGGAAGTATTATGTGAGATATTTCTCTATTACATTACTCATCTGAACTGGAGGCATGATGCAGTGACCATGAAACTTGGAGAACATGCACATAACTCCCCGTGCGCCCCTGCCTCAGTGTTCCAGTATATTTTCCCTTTGAGCAGATTTGGTTGCTTAAATCATTACTGTGTTTGTCTTTTCATATGGGGAACTGCTTCATAGTTTATTTTGTGATTCATGCTCGCAGTGGGTGAAATCCAGCTGCAGCTTTCAGTATGGAAAGTACGACGGACTTTAGCGTGAGACTTGGCACGTAGAGTGCAAAGTGCAATAGGAAGCACATGGCCAAGAGGAGCAAAGGGGTTTAGGAGTTAGAAGGTGGGATTGAAAGGACACTCGATGCAAAAAACAGCAGGGAATCCCATGTCAAAGTTGTTAAGAGGCGAGCAATAACAAGGGGCCTTAAAATAAGGGTGGGAAAATAAAAAGAAATAAATGGGCAGGCAGGAAAAGACAGGATACAGAAGAGAGACTGGAGCGGTAAAGAAAGAGCTTTAGCACCAGGGGGAAGAACTAATTCTGTCAGGAGCTCAGCCACAAGGCAGAGTTTGAAACATTGATAATACAACTCAGTATGGTTTTGCTGCTAGCCAGCAGAATGCGTTGAAAGTCACTGCAGCAGAGGTGATGGCTAAGGATAAAACTGGAAGGCAAAGTTGAACACAGACTGCAGCTCCTAAGAGGAGCTCATAATGCCATGTATTAGTCCAAAGGAGGTTTTTAAACCTTCATCGTGGCCTGCAGCATATATCCCATATATTGCGTAATCACAATGTGTGTTGCATTAACATTTTCTAGGCTTCGTTTGTAAAGAAATTTGGAAGGTGGGAAAAAGTTAATGCATATGTTTTCTACGTAAATTTTGCAGTAATGTGATTTTTGAAATGCAGGCTATTATCGTACCATTAATGCACTTCTATTACATTTTATGAATCTTGGCCTAAAGAAAGGAGTTGTATGTTTCTTCGCTAAATGCAAACTAAAAAAAAAAAGCCCACAACAAAAAAGACCTAAAAAAAATTAATAAAAATAATAATAAATAAATTTTCTTAGACAAACTGAGCAAAAAATAAAGATCTCTTACATAGTAGAACAATATTAATTGGCCTGTGGAAATGAAGAAGTGGGAGAGAAAACTCACTAATCTAAAAATGCTTGTTGTTTTGTTCCTAGGCTCAGACATCGTTCAGTGGTTAACGAAGAACTTATCTATAGAAGACCCAGGTAATTTATCTTTTCTCATGTCTGAAAATTCTAGTTCGTCTTTTTAAATGGTTGGACCTGATTTTGTCTTCTGTTCTGGTGGGCGTGGTCAGGCAGCATTTGACCACTGTAATTTTAATAGCTAAACAGATAACATCAAACCTTAGAAACCTTTACTAAGCAGCTGAGGATTTTGGCTATCCATTTTATTGGAGTAGATACCAGGAAACAAGAGGGCGGCCAAGAATGAAAATAATAGCTGCTTTAATTAATAGAATATGAGTTTAAGTTCTACTCCGTGAGGAATTTACTCAGTGTCATGCTAACTAGTTTGCTAAACACGTGCTGTTCTCTTAACAGATTTTTTCAGTATATAAAAATAAATAGAGATAATAAAATATGCTCTTGTACTGCTACTGAGAGCTGCATTTCTATTCTTAGTTTTGGACACTTTTATAGCATCTTATATGGAAAGTGAACTGTAAATAAAATCACTGCAGTGAAGAACAACAATTCATTGCTTGATCAGCTAGGTTGGAACACGGAAGTAAAGCTTTGACTCCAAGCTCTGCTACAAGTTTCTTGTACTGCCAGCAGCAAATAAAGTGTGGTTCATATCTAATATTTATTTCCCTAATTTAAAGGAATCTTAATGCATGATCTGAGATTTTCTGGAAATAAATGATTTCTAGTGGAAAATGCTGAATGGCAGAAATAAAATATTCTGTGGAAGTTTCTATTGTCTCTTGGATAGGTGAAGGATAATTTTCCTTCTTTAAAACATGATAAAAAATACTTACTTTTCCTCTCCACATTTCAGATTTGGGAATGGAATTTATGGTAGTTTTGTTTTGGTTTTGGTTTGTTTTTAAATTAAAAAATGTGGTCTTCTGTCATACTAGACATGAAAGAATGATCATTGTGGAATTCCAGCAAAAAGCAAAATCACTGTGTTTAAAATTGTGACTTGAGTAATGAGAAACTATTATAAATACATAATTCAAAATTTGGAAGTAGCCAGTTCACAACTTATCAATATGTTACTTGAAAGATATCACTAATTTCATCCAGTTTTATGTAACTTTACACAGAATGTGTTGTTTGCTTCCTGAATCTAAAGTGGAGGTTGCAAGAGACTTGTAGTGTTTGATACTGTATTTCTCAGTTGGGAGCTACAAAACACTTAGCTATCTATATTTATCAGAGTTTAAAATATTACTATTCTATGATTATTTGATATGAAAGCTTAACCTTTATTTGTCAAACCAGAACTGCAATACTGGGACAGGCTGTCATTCAGATTATCTTGTTACTATTAAATTTAGAATATAAGAAACCTTAAACTAAATGGAAATCATGGTTTCCTATGTGTCATGTCCCACCCAGGAGGGGAGGTCTGGTGACTTAGATTTGTAATTCCCCAACGGTGTGGACAGCAGTGAGACAAGTCTTAAGGTCCATACACAAACATTTATTGATTTCTCACAATGTATAGATCAGACTTATGATAATTGGTTAAGTTACAAGACACGTTAGGGCAAGCAATACAACATGACTTAATGATAATCAGCACAAGACTAGGTGTACAACAAACTACAGAAACTTACTGATAACAAGGAAAAAGAACTAGACACATAACAAATCATAACAAGCAGTATTATACTCAATGATTATGATAAAGAAACGAAGTATAAACTAAGCAAGCAGTATGATGGGCCTCACATTGCTTAGTGGGAAAGGGGAAAGAGAAAGAGAGAGAGATACACAGATCACCAGTCTGGGTTCCTGCGTTGGTCCTGCCAACAAGAGTTTGAGGTTACCATCATCTTTCCTTCTTCATTACTTCTCCTCCTGCTCGTCATCTTCTTTCTTCTTTCCTCTTGTTGTCTTCATCTCTGTTTCCATGCTTCTGCCTTTTCGCTTTTTCCCATCTCGATTTATACACACTTTTTTACATGCAGACGTGCAATATGTGAGGTAGGGGAGCAAGGCACTTCATTATTTTCAATCATTACCATATGCGATTGCCTGTCAGCTATCCATGGGAGATAAGCATCGAGGCAAGGCCGTCCTGCCTTCACAAGACTCCTTCCCTCATGTATATTTGGTGCCAAGGCTCTTTGAGACATCTCTTTCCTGCTTAGCCTTATCAGACCCCTCTCCCATATTCCATTTGGCACTTATCTGTTTGCTACACAGGACCAGAAACTGGTCTCATTTTTGCTGTTGGTCTGTTCTGTACCAAGCTGGTGGTTTGTACTGTGCAAAGAAATGTTTAAGGCAAACATTCGTGCATCTATTCGCTATGCTATGTTGATATCCAATTAAAATTAAACAAACACACAAACTCCTTAACTATGTGACCAAAGTAAATTACCCCAGTAATTTAATTTAAACTGAGTTTTATCCACTCAGATTCTATGGCTGGAGAAACCTATCCACAATGACAAAAATGTCTTATGCATGTCGGTCCCAGTCCAAAGTCCGCTATCTGGAGCTCGCTGGACGCAAATCCTCAGAAAGCCAGTTGCCCTTAATGCTGCCTTTGGGTAGTTCTCAGAATTGCCAGATAGCAGTGAACATGGCAGATGGTGAGCAAGAGCTATTCATATGAGAAAAGTTCTGAAAGTATTCTGTTTTGTAAAATCTTTTCAGTGTGTGACTCCCTGTTCCAGTTCTAAACAAGACAATCTAGAATTTTCTGTAGAAAAGCCCTAAATTTCTGTGAACTGTTGTCATCATGACTTGGATTTCCGGTATTTTCTGTCTATTTTCACCAATGAGTCAGGGTTTTACTGTGGCCGTGTTTTAAAAGTCCCCTGTAGGGTCCTGTTACAAAGCTCTTGTGAAGCTATGCAATTTTGTGATGCAGAAATAAATAATGCCTGTGTTTGCACTGAAAGATAACATCTCCATCTAATTTTGATATCAGCGACATACTTGTAAGAGCAACATAAATTAAACCTTGGTTTACATATTTTAAGAGTGTATTCTACTCTGTCCAGAAAGAATTAAGGACTATTTGCAAACCTTATCCACAAGTTTTGTGAACTGCTTGTGTGAGCAAGGCATGCAATTTTTTTTTTATGGAGTAAGCAGACATCTAGATTTGCAGAATCATAGAACAGCTCAGGTTAGGAGGGACCTTGAAAGACTGTCTGGTCCAACCTTTCATGGAAAAGGAAGCCTTAATGAGATCACCTAGCACCCTGTCCAGTCGTAACTTGAACACCTCCAGTGATGGGTACTCCACCATGCCTCTGGGGAGATTGTTCCAGTGAAATATTGTCCTCACTGTAAAGAAATTCTTTCTTATATCAAGATGAAACCTCTCTCCATGCGCTTGTACCCATTGCCCCTTGTCTTCTTTGTGTGGCTCCTTGTGAAGAGAGACTGTCTTCTTTGTAGCTGCCCTTTAAGTGCTGGAAAAATGTCATGAACTTCTTCCTGAGCCTTCCATTCTTCCAGGGTGAAAACACCAAACTCCTTCAGTTGACTTGTTCTTCAGTAAATCAGAGAACTACTAAGAAGGAAGTGGCACTACCATACATTAAAACAAAACAAAACAAATATTTTGTAGTGCAATTACAATACAACTTCAATACCATATAAGTCGGAGTGAAGAGGGCTGCTTTATGGATAGTGGGAGAACAAAAGGCAGGAGAAGATCTGGCAGCAACATTTGCTTTTGCTGTTTTAATAAGTGTAAACCTATTGTCTGGAAACAGCAATTGCAATTAAAAAATAGCTACAAGTATAAATTGCCAATCAAAAAAACCTCTGCACATTTTTCATAAATGGAAATTAATTTTCTGTGGAAGATTTGAAAGATTTTGGCTTACTGCAGTAAATCTCCATCAAGAAAATAAACTGGAGATGATGGGTGGATTCTGCTAATTTATACCAGATTTGAAGTTTTTTCAGTGGAGAAGAGTAGAGCTTGTGCCCAGAATAGCAGTGTGCAATGTACAATTGCTGTTATTTTGTCAGCTTTTCAATATGCATTTAAAAAATATTTGTGTTTCCAGCCTACAACTCATCTGTAAATTTTTAAGGAACATAAATTATCTAAGTTATTTTTAATGTGGAATTTTAATTCAGTCATAGAAATAAGCCTGATCTCAACCCGAAAAGAAGCAATTAACTGAGTTTACAGAATTGTAAGGGCTTGTGGTTTGGCACTTAGAAATGTGTTTGTTGAACTGACCATTACAGAGTAAGTGCTGACTCTTCACTGATGGTGCCAATTACTCTTCATGTGGAAAACCTACTCTGTTATTCTACATTGTGTTTTTCTTTCTTAAAGTGATAATTAGTGCCAGGAAATGTACTGACCACACTAGAAACGGAAGTCCTTTTAAACCTTAGGGGAAAAAGTAGAACCAAAATGGTAGATGAGCTGATTTAAAGGTGTCATCTGAAACTGCCAAGAGACTTAATTCTGTACTTAGTTCTTGCACTCATTTCTTTGATGCCCTTTGGGCAGACGCTTGATTTCTCTATTCCCTACCATCCCACCATGCTAATAGTAAATCATGCTGTTGTCTCTTTAAGGAGAAAAAACTAGTTGTAGTTTTCAAGTTTTTTCCTAATGAAGCGTGTGCTATTCATGAACATGCACTTTATCGCTAAGTTAGCCCATGAAAAATTTCTGTCTAGGTGGCTCAGAAAGAGCCTTTAAGAGTTGATAACATGTTTAGCCATCATCCCCTTGTTCGTTGACCTTTACTCCCAAGTATTGTTATTTAATTTACTTGTATCTGCAAAGCCAACTGAATTTGGCTGAAGGCACTTCATTATTGGGTGGTTACTCTGGCAGAGCCACAGCACCTCAGACAGCTTCAGAATGCACAGTCTTTGCATTCAGACTGCCTTGCTCTGGCTCATTTTGGCAGCCTGAAAGAGTTTGATACTGCTCTTGGACATCAGGAATTACACTAAAGTCAAATATATATAACTAAATCAAAGTCTGTAAGTTATAAAACAAGATGTACCTTGACATAGACACCCTCCTGTGATTT